TGCTTTAACTGATAGTGATAAAACGGGTTTGTCGTAATACTCCTTTTAGAGGGGTCCATCGATTTCAGGCTTGTGATATGCATTTATGATTACCGTAGTGGCTGAGGACAACGCGCTTCTGCCCCCTGTCTGTCGTGATTAAATATTCATTCCAGTCGTCAACCCTTCATAACGTCGACCTTAAGTTGAACCTTGGGTTTGTTTTGCCTTCTAGCTCCAAATGATAGAACAATTGCGAATGACGGAAAGAACCTTCAAAGCCAAGCCACATTTTTACTTTGAAGAAGGCCCATAGACCATATTGTATGCAAATCAACCGTATTTTTGTAATAGTTTTCACTGTGACCACCGACACACGAGCGATATATTCAATTTTCAAGTGAATTGTGTTAAATATATCGCCTTCGTCGATCGGTGTTCACTTTCGTTTTCCCACGTTCATCATTTACAATTTTCTAATACTCTCCTGCAGTTTATCGTGGTTCCGTCTTGTATTATTTGTTTTTGTTTCAGAGGCATGGTCTCTTACTCGTCCTTTTGCTGTTTTTTCTTTCGACATGCAAATTACCATGATTGTCAGAGTGAAAATGTTGTTGAAACATATATTAGAACATCTTTATAAAGTAGAAAACCTTCCTTTCTCATAACCGGGAGAATCTTTGAAGGATGGCTGAATCACAGATAGCATAACAAACTGAGTGCCTGATGAACTCTGCGAGTAGGATAGACCGAGCGGTGCTTAAAATGCCGTCCTGTTCGTCGTGTGGTGTATTCTTACAATTTAGCAACAAGTTGCACAGCATTGCGAATAGTTTATTTAATCGCGGCTATACTGATAAGCCTGGTCCTGATGAGAACGGCAAAGACAAGGCGGACGATAGTCTTGAATTGAGTTTTAGTCATTGTGGCACTCAATATAACATCAGGTTAGACAGTGCTTAAGTCAAATGATGAGTTTTGTCGAAGTCAATAGGGCTTTATAGGATGCGTTGTGTAATAAGGACAGAAGAAATAAAATGAAAGAAATACAGTTGTTATCGTCGCGATGCCGTTTGTCTCTGCACCTCCGTGACAGGTGGCATTGTTAGCACTATTTTTTCATGGAGTTTATGATGCGGCGCTAATCTTCATTACAATGCAATCAGCAAGGAGTACCACAGACTTGTGAAGGCAATATCTAAAAGACCCAGGTACGTGGCGACTGCTTCCTATAACACTAGATCTGTCCTTTCTGCACTATGGTGCTTGGTTGTAGTGGGATCAGACAATATCAAATCAGATCCGGCATCCGTCAGAGGATTCGCTGCTTTCGAAAAAAAGAAAAACCTTATTTCTACGCACAGCATCAGTGAACTTGTAAAAAACAGCACTGATTTATCATTTGATAAATATATACTTAGTAAATAAACAGGGACCGTTGAACGCGTAAAAAGTATATTTACTAAGTGAAACATTCGGAACTCACAACGATTGTCTTTCTTAAGCACAAATTAATAATGTATAAGACAGATATCGTATTCACTTACTGATGAAATAAATCAGCAGGAAAATAAAGATATACAACCTGAACAGGGGAAATTGTTGAAAGAAAATGAAAAGCATAACAAATGAAAGGCGATAATGATGAACGAGGGCAAAGATAAATGAGAATGAAAAAAAATAAATGAAAATAGATTAGCTAGAGGAACTAAACTATTGAGGATGCGATTCCAACTAGGTAAAAGATCTTTCAGTCTTAATTGGTTGTTCACGCAGACTGTGACATATGCTTTAGCGAGGGCGGATTTGCATATCATGGGGCCGGTAATGGTCTTTTAACGGTCACTGATCTTCACGTCCTTCCTATCAATGTGGTGTAGGTTGTCAGCAGCATGCTTCGTGTTTCATAATGGCATAATGTTCTTTACTTCCATGCTCGAAAACTGCTACATGTTCATTTGGACGAGTTTAGCATGTCTTATTGTCGTGTTAATGTAAAGCTTTCAACAACGTTTGCAATGCATTGGGTAACTTGTCGTCTGTTATAATGTGTTCAGCATGCAAGATATTGCATGGGGTGATGCTTTTTCTACAAATGACATTGAATCTGACCTAACAAAACGATAGAGGGTTGAAAATCAATACAAGTTCAAATCTTTATCCTCCATGACCGCTTCTCCTTTCCGATCGCGGAGGCAGACGCGTCGGACAGTGCTTCCAAAGTTCCCGATCCTGTGCCAGTGTCTGAGCTTCGGCTGGGCAGCTGGAGTCTGGAAAAGACACCTTCCATATATTTGTATCAGATTAATCTTTGCCTTCCCCTGGGCATTCTGCCGGTCGGTTAGGCGAGAAATAGTTGCTCCGCTTTTCTGGAGGCATTCGCAACACCTGCTCAGATCATCGCAGCTGTGACTTGTCAGTCTGGAGAAGCAGCGGCCGTACACCAAGGCTCTCACGAATGTATGAATTCTGGACCATGTCGAGACCTTTAAGGGCAGCGATTCGTTTCAGAAAGTTCATTTCAGCCGCTTGTACCCGGGATCGAAGTTTTTCAGTCATGGTCTACGACTTATGACCGTACGTAAGCATTGGGATCAAGATCGACTTGAATACTGAGAGCTTAGTCTTCAGACTCAGACTGCTTTAGTCACAGTGGTTCGGAGTAGTTAACTGAATGCCACTGGCTACTCCAGTTCGCCGGTCGATCTCTTCCTTAAATTTTCTATTATTAGTAAATGCAACTCCGAGGTACTTGAACTTCTACACCTGCTCCACTGCCCCTCCGTTAATCTGAAGAGAGCAACGGGCAGGAGAACGAGATGGCTCTAGGCTTCTCTTTTAAGATGCGTCTACATGTATGCCGACTACGTCGCACTCGGCTGCGAACCTTTCTAAGGAGCACTAGGTCAGTTTCAGATGATATCGATAAAACAAGGTCGTTTGCAAACAGCTACCTTCCCGTCTCCACAACTTCTGCACCGATAAATTGATCTACAATGCTTTTCTTATCTACAGTGCAAGTTAAGATATGAAGATTTAATGTTTCTGTTATGTTAGGATAAGAGGCGAACAGTGTAATTTGTGTAAAAAAATGATTTTGGAAAATATTATGATTGTAATCATCA